AAGGCCATATGAAGACCTGTGTACAGCATTTTTTTGCAGTCTAAGTATAAGAAACTACAAAATGATTTGGTAGCAAACTAAAAATTTGGGACTCTCTATGCGAGTTTTCGCAGTAATCAGGCCTTGTCTATATTCAGCATGGAAACCTTATTTCTTCCATGTTTTTTTTTTAACCCCAACTTCAGGGAATCCGAGAATTTTATTGTAAGACGCCAGGATTCCATATAAGATAGTAATTGAGGAAAATTATGACATAATAGTCAGAAATTTTTAATCTCATAATTTTATCAAATAATTTTAACTGACTTTACAATTTAAAATTAGGTAAAAAATAATCTTTGTCTGACAAAGATTTTTTAATAAAACTCTGCCGGATTTTCGGACTTGACGATGCTCAGACACATGTGTTTCTTCTTCAGAAGCAACTAGCCCCCCACACCCCCGAAGAAGTTTCTTTTATATACTCGGATAAAGATTTATTCAAACTCTATGTGAAACTAAGGTTGCTTTTTTGCGCAATTTTAAAACTTACATTGGCATGTTTCTCTTGCATTTTGAAACTTAATTAAATGTTTATTATTATTGTTTAAATTTATTCAGAGGTAATAAAACCTTAAAAAAGTACTCCCCTCCTAAGCTTCTAAAGGAAAGGCTATTAAGAGTATTATTCTACATACCTGATTTCATATATTGTTGGATAGAAAGGCGTATATTTTAATAATTAATGTGCTTTTGTTATTAATTTAGTTATAATTTATTATTCATCTAATATTATTTTATTACGAACACAAAATTTAACAAATTATAAATTAACAAAAAATATTCGTACGCATAACTTACTGAAAAACCGAAAATATTTACATATTTACTAATTTTTTCTAAAAAACTAAAAACTTTAATAAACGTTATTTATATATCATTTGCCACTAAGAGTCATAGATTTACGCGAAATTTATTATTTTTAATGTATTCGTTCGTAGATTTTGACTTCCTTTGTTAACATACAAAGTGTTAACTCGATGTAGACATGCGCGACTTATCGTTAAGTACAACAGAAACTTGGGAAGGGTGTATAAGACATTTTCATTTAAAACTAATTACATGAACAGAAGGCCTTTCTGGTGCTTACAAATTTGCCAGCACTTATGCAAAAGACTCAAAGTAGTAATTAGCTAAATTTATTAATAAATTAAAATAAAAAATAGCCAACGAAATATACACAACAATTTACGCGAAGTTGGCTCAGAATTTCAACTCATGAATTTAGCTATCGGCAACCTAATTCTAGGAACTCTTAAGTAGAAAACCTAGCAACGTGGCCTCCTAGAGACAGAACACTCTCTAACACCACAGAGTTATTAGTTTTTTTTTTTTTTTTTTTTTTTTTTTTTTTTCCTGAAGCAGGAAACGTGAAAAATATGCAATCCCCTTCCCGGGACTCGAACCCTGGACATCTTGAATACGTGTCGAGTATGCTTCCAATTACACCACGAAGGCATGCGGAAAGGTGGGAGAAAATACCTTGTAACTTGATCCCAAAGCCTCCTTTTAAATACACGCAAACTCATTTGCAATATGACGGGAAAAAGGAAATAGGGAAGTGACAATACAGATTCAAAATATATAATATATATAATGGTTATTTGTTTCCGAGATTTTGATATTTTCTTTCCGACTGTTTGAGAACATAATGGAAAAAGGGCCAAAAATCTTTGAAAAAGCTTGAGTCTTGCGGCTACATATTAATTCAGGCTTCAAGACCATGTAACCGTGTGACATCGACGCTTTAACGTCCATGGGCCAAGATGTGTGCCAGCCATACTAAACCCTCGCCATCTTTCCAGTAACAGCTCAACACATGATCTACATGAGCAACCAAAGAGCATCTACTTCAAACATTTTAAATTCTATGAAACTCCATGTATGTGAACTGTCCTACTGCGCAAACTACGATCTGTGTTTAGCGAAACCACGAACTGTGCAAATGCGCAAACTACGAAACTGCAGAGTGTGCATCCTCCTGTACTAAAATTGACGCTATTTGCATCACTACAACCGCAGCCAGATTTCTCCGTCAAAGCCTGTTTCCTCCGTCAAAATTCTCGCAACGATCTATGAACAGCAAGCTCATAAGTGCACGTACGCAAACAGAGACCTCAAACAACTGTAAACTATGTACAAATTATGAAAAACACGCGCAAACAGCGAATTATTTGCGACTATACACATGTGCAAACTATTTACCTATGTGAACTACGCAACCGTGGACAACCTTATGTGCAAACGCTTATGTAAGCTATACCCTACGAACTCCTAGCACAGAACTCAACATATTGTGCACCACATGCCAGTCGAGGACATTATCCTAGCAACTTAGCTCAACACATGCCTTAATTATATTTCCTTGTGTGCTTTAATTCTTGCTCTTGCCCTCTATTCTTTTTTTTTTTTTTTTTTTTTTTTCTTTAAATTCTGCAACATTTTTGTTTCCTTGCCTTTTCTGTTCAGTAAAATCTCTCCAAATCTGTAAACAAAACACGAGCGCTCTTGTTTGGCCATGTACAGCCTTTTTCATGTCTCAATTAACTCCTGACGCAGCCTCTTGGGGCTCCAGGGAGTTGTGGCCACTAGATAGGGAAAGGCGTGGGACATACGCCTGTTTACCTATGTTAGACACCAGGTGTCCCCGTTCTCCGTAACCTGTGATAACGTGGTTCATTATAATGAAATTGCAGAGGCTTGCATATTTACCCATCCCTAGCTTTCAGGTTTACTTGAATAGGTTTTCATGACCATTCAGGAAATGAAAGCCTTGAAGTTAAGGTGGATCTTTTACAGGATGACCATATGTACCTTATACATATCTTATAAACGTATACCCACTCAGAAATTTAATAATTTCATTATAATAAACAGTTTTACAGAAAGAAATATGATACTTTTCTGCTAACGGAGTGCCACTTACCGCCGCACAGAAGCATCGACGTTTAATCTAACTAGATGGCAGCAATTTTAATGAAAGCTTCATTAAAAAAATAACTTGTGTTATACATACAATATAATGTACAACGTGTCCAAAAAATTATTGCCCTTTAGTCCAGATAAGGACATGATGCATATAATATCTAATGTGCGCAATGTCGAAGCTGTGCGCGATGCCAAATTTTTGCATTTCTCTGCTATAATTCATTAATCATTCGAGGCCCACCAGCGGCCGAGTGGTAAAGTCGCTGAACACTGGTAGTTCGGTCCGAGGTTCGAATCCCGCGAACGGGCTGGCTGCATGGGTGTTTTCGTGGTTTTCCCCATGTGTAACGTGTATACGAGCCAGTTTCCCTTAGAAAGTCCTCCACGAAAGGCATCCCTCCTCTTAGGCAGATAGCCCTAGTGTGCTTTGCCATAATTAAATACACCACCACACCACCATTAATCATTCGACTTTTATATTTTAACATACGCTGTACTCTAAATAAGCATTTGTTGCATTTGCAAGCCTTCACACTCAGTATGCTACACTGGCTATATTTCAGTGTTCGAAATATGCATACTTCATCATTAGAAATGTATTAATTAAATCAGTGTAATAATTTTGTATTTTTAGGTGATTAATAAATTTATTCAAATGTTTGTTATTGGATGCAATACCGCTCAAAAAGCAATAATGGTATCTCATGGGACATTTTAAAATCACTTACCTGGTGATTTTGTATGAGATACACTGGAAATTTTTCAAAAAACTAACTCTTTCAGATCTTCAGATCTGTTTGCTTCCTTCTATTAGCAGCAATACCTGGTGACCTTTCACAATTGAAAACAGAGCTTTATAATAGCGTATTGCTGGTATCAAAGCATCTGATGTCAAGTTAATTAAAATAATAATAATAATTCATTGACGAACACTTACAATTGCACTAGTTCTTTCTGTTGATGAATTTTGGTTTATGTACGGTCATTTGAATATCATTTAAAATTATGGTTTTCTTTTATTTGTTTCAGTGGAAATTCGCTTTTCCTAATAAAAACTAAAAAATCCAAATTCACGATATTCATATTAATCTTTTCATTTGTATTATTTCAGTTAATTTTAATAACGTGCAACGGTAGTTCCTGTTCCTTCATTAGCTATTCACGGAAGTTAAGTTTTCGCATAACGAAAAATGAATTAAATTGTAATTCAAAAACATCGAATCCTGAAACATACATTATATGCACTTCACATTTACACAGTGCATTACTTCTGTAAATCTTACTTATTCATCCCTTGAGGGGGGGGGTTCTCTTATTTACGAAGATGTCTAAACTGAGATTTGTTCTTTTGATCTGGAATTGTTAAAAGAAATCAAAATAATCTGATCGAAAAGGAAACATGCCAATGTAATAAAGTTAGACAAAATAGCATTCTTGAACTGGCGCAGACTTGACTGAATAAAAATATAATAATATTTGAATTCAAGATTATTAGTAGCACATATATCTAAAAATTTACAGAAATTATATTCGCTACTTCAAATGCGTACATAGAAACAACAAGCAGTCTATGAGTTATTAAAAATTTACAGGGTAAAATATATGAGCATTTATCCTCACAATCATAACAATTAAACTACTGGCATTTCATTTTATAATTCCATCAGAAAAAATATTGCTTAAGCCCTTTTAGCACTCACGGATTGAGCAAAAGAAATAAGGGAAGAAATTTGATATATTTTTGTATCAACATCTGCAAGTTGCTGCTGACTGACAATTCTAACTACCAGAAATTTCAAGCATGAAACAACATTTAAGAAGCACATAAAATTTTACATTGGTAGCAGAATATTCGTCAGTAATGTCTGTTTTCAAAGGAAAACTTTGACGAAATATACTGCTTTGTAATCCTTCTAAAAAGAGTACAGTTAACTTTGGTAAATAAATTCTTCACTTTTACCACACCTTATGAATAAATATCATACAAAATTAGCGAGAATCTTCCTAGGTATTCGCAGCAAGTCGCTACCCACCTGACTCAGAGGTCTGATCTTCTCGTGAATACCCAGAGCTGCTGTTGATGGTGACGGAGGTGGGAAGTCGGGTGTTGGTGGTTGCTGATAATGCGTGGGACTAAGCGGTATTTGGATGGTTTGCCGTTTGGTCCTCAGATCAAGAGTTTTGGGTTTGGCCGGAGGGATGGGTTTGTCCGGCCTAAGTCCCTCTCCAGTCAACCTCCTGCGATGCATGGCTTTTGGACCTAAAACAGAGGAGGTACCACTAGTAACCCTCCCACTGGCCACATCATCGTAGAGGGCACTGAAGGGTGAAACCTCGTTGATCTTACCGTTCGACAACGGCTGTTGTTGAACGGCGTTCTGCGGGTGACTTGCAGACGAGGTTGAGGATGTCAGTGCAGATGGTAAGTGATGTTGCTGTGACTGGTGGTACTGACTGAGGTTGTGGTGGTAAATGCTGCTGCTATCTGAGTTGGCGAATCCGCTCGGGGGTGTTCTTGGCATCATGATCTCAGACGGATCGTACATCATTTGATTCTGTGAGGTAGAATCGTAAGTAACAGAAGACTGTCTTATGTGGTGTTGTGTCTTTCCACTTGGAGAGAGAGATGTAATAGACTTCCTGGGAGGTTTCGCGGGTGGCTAAAATTTAAAAAAAAAGCGAAAATGTAAATTTTCAAAAATTTTAATGGTTTCTAGATTTATGCAGAAATATAATGTATAACAAAAGTAACATGACTCGGACGTTATTTAAGTTACAAAAAAAAAAACTGCAATTATATATTTATTACTATACACTTTACGTTTTAAAATATTACGAATTACACGCAGAAAATTATACGTGACTGAATACAGATCATCACTTCCCTGTCTTATTCATGTATTGACTAATATTCAGATATTTAATACTAGAATGCAATAGAGAAGTACAATAAGAATATGATATATAAAGTAAACCCGATAGTATACAAGAATTAATGGATATCATCAGCCTGTTTATTCATACCTTCATTCTAATAATATAAAATTACTTCAATTTAATTTTACATTATTCAGGACAAACACTGAGAAAAAAATTATAATTCCATTGTCTTAGAATCACATAAAAGAGCATCAAACATTATGCTTTAAGGGTAAAAACTTAATTTCTCATTAAAATCTCTCAAACAAAGTATTACAAATATCAATACTTTTAATAGCCAGTGACAAATTACATAACAGAACATAATTAAACATTACTATTTCATCTTGAAAGATGTATAAACGTAAGCAATTTTTCTCATATTTCAAGAAGTCTAAAGCGATAATTTGCATAAAATATTAAGAAATTCTAAAAAGCATAAAATTAAATATAGAACATTACCAAAGGTTTCCATCCGGGTGGCACTGATATTCGAGATGGTGGGCCCTGAGGATCTAAAGAAATACAATCCTCAAATATATTAATATGTACAAAAGAAAATATAAAAATATACCAATGATCTATAACTATGAATACAGAAATGCAAAGAAATATTAAACAAAAAATATAGCCCTAAACAAAAGGAATGTAACAAAGAATATGAAAAAATAATTAATAAATAAACTATATAAATAATATAAAATATTTCTTCATAAAAGTACTGTATTCTTTTTATTGATACCTCTTACGCATACAGTTACTTCACAGACAGTTCTTGACATTCCTGGAAAAATTGGTAGAAATTTTGTTTCTTTTTTTCTGTCATTGACTAGCCCTAGAGTCATTTTGGATGGCTTAGATAGTCAGTAAACGTTTATACCGTACAGTTCCCTTCATAGGAGGCAGAGGATAAGGAAACGGATAAATAAAGTGGTTATAGTATGACAGGAATGTTTTTCCTCTTCAATTAAACCTAAGTCTCTTCTCAATATCTTTCGCTCAGTTCCCTTTCCATAACACGAGCTACTCTGTCTCGGATAATGTCTTCTTCAATACAGAATATGCCAATGCCTTCAATAAAGACTAAATTCAATTACTGCCAATTAAATTCCCTAACAAGCGTAAGAACAAAACTCAGTTATTGCAAATGCCACACACGTGATATGATACTATCTCGAACTTTTTGAATAGGAGTGTGTAGAGTTATTAGGTTATTTTGATGCTGGAGACGTGCAAAACGAGCAATGCCCTCGCCGGGCCTCGAACCTGGACCTCTCGAATACGCGCCCAGTGTGCTCACCGTTACTCCACGAAGGCATACAGGAACCAGTGAGAAAATACTTTATTATATTCCCTCTTTTAAGGGGCGAATGGGGATTAGGGAACCCAGTTGCCAAATCCTGGTGGTGAAGAATCATCATCCACCATCTTTTTAATTTGGGCGCCATTGTAGAGTCATTAGGTTATTTTGATGCTGAAGACGTGAAAAACGAGCAATGTCCTTGCCGGGACTCGAAACGGGACTTCTCGAATACGCGCCGAGTGTGCTAGCCGTTACACCAAGAAGTAGAGCATACAGGAAGGACAGAGAATTAATAGTAATACATTGCATTCAAGCAAATAAGTAAATTTATACATCGCTCTTGTGATATGCAAACTCATGTACAATATTCAATCTACAGTATTTAATAGAAGTTCCATTCCATAACTAAAAGTAATTGTTTTTTAGTTTGTTTTTATCTTGTGGGACCTAATAATTTGATAACAGTTTATTAAAAGGTGAAACAACATCATGCTGCATGTGATACTTTTCTTTTATGTAGGTTTGAATCAGAAAGGGTAAACTTACCAGGGGGTGAAAAGGTGGTGAGGCCTTGACTATCCGTAGATGAGGTCATTACGTCACGAGGTTCATACATGGACGTAGAGTGCACTGACGCGGCATCGTAGTCCTTCGGAAGGGGCGGGGTCTCGTATACCGAGGGACTCCGACTACTCATTGAGAGGTGCTCGGAACTTGAACCCTGTGACTTCCGGAGAGTATCACTGGCTCTACAAAACACAAATGTTTCTTACAATTATCATTCAAAAAATCGTATTTTAAATTGTTTCATTTTTATGAGAGTATTTTCAGTAAAGCATAAACAGCATAACTTCGTAAAATTTATTCTCATTCATCGATTTTCCCAATTATTTCAGATATAGGCTACACGGTAGCTATTATTATTGTAAGACACAGGCTGAATTTTCAAAATTACGATATGAAATGTGTAATGTTCAACGTACAAACTTGCAATGTCCTTGCCGGGCTGATGACATGCAAGAGCTGATGACACATCTCAGGCTCAAGTATGTACGAAGTCTCTATTATTCATCAGTTGCATGGACAACAAGCTCTCAAGCTCTTTGTTTAGTCAAATGTTCACCAAATTTACAAAAATGTTATTCCATTATTTCTGTAAAAATTATCAAAAATGAAATCTATAAAAATTTTAGAAATACCAGTGGAAAGCATTGGGTAAACATGTTTAGATCTGGTTGGTACATGGCTAACACATATTCTAGTTTATAGATAAGCGTTGTAAGTGTTCTTCGTAGCAACAATTCATTGAGGAGGAGGAGGCAAAAGTCTTGGACATTTTCACATAAGCATCTGTCAAACTTTCTTCGGATTGTTGAGCTTCGAAACTTATATTTGAACAATCGACAAAATGCTGAGAAAAATTTACAGAGTTGAGAAAGCCTTTTTGCACTTCAACATTTCTGACAGTGAGTATACTCGAAACACATAGTCCTTCTTCTTGTAACAAATTTATTTGCTTCACGTCGTTTATTATGATAGAACTTTATACATTCTCCTTGAAAAGCCCAGCAAAAAGCAAGGGATTTAAACCACTGAATACTGAGAGTTTGACACGTGTTCAATCCCAGAGGAACGGGTGGGCTGCACTGTTGGTTTTCGAGATTTGCACATGTGAAAGTAGTCAGGTCTCTATGGCTTAGTGTGTTTTCAAGTCCCCACAATGTCCCTTTTCCTTATTTTCACGAAGGAAAAACAGGACCTTGAAGATCTATAAGATGATTTCTCAGCCCTCTCAAATCTAGGGCTTGAATCCTGGTCTTGTGAGTCTGCGCTGCAAATAAGCTTGGTAGTAATCATTCCAAAACCGATTCACTCACAGTAACGCTTTTCTTTAAAACATTTTATTCCCCAATGGATTAATTACACTTAAAGGTTACATTATTTACATAACAAGCAGCAGGTCATGCGTATATGGTTAAAAAATGACACCGGATTAAAGTCGTTGCCTTGAAAGAAAGTCAATCTCAGTAAATAGACTTTTAACCATAGAATGCGCTAAGTGCTTATTCCTTTCTTTTAATTTCTAATACTCGTTACAAACTACGTGAAATTACAAACTTTGTTCTTGAGTAATAAAATCAAAATACATTTAATTCCTTCCCATTTTCGTAACTTTGCAGAGTGTCACTTTAAAATTTTCATACAGATTACATCGCGTCTTCAATATTCAGCATCAGACTTATGCACTATAAACATTCCTGGCCTCCAGGACAAATGAAAACTGAGAAGAAAAGACGAACGATTTTAAACTCCGGAGATCTCAGAATAAAAGCAAAAGCAATCGACATTTGATTTGTAAGAGTGGGGAAAAATATACGGCATAATTTCCAGTACTGGAATGTTAATTAGTTGGGCATTTTCATAAAGATGCGTTAAAGAATTATAAAATACACAGAGGACAAAATAAGGTAGAGTTTAGAACCACTTTAATAATTTTTGAATGAAAACAGCGGCAAGTATGTGAATAAGGTCATTATATACACTGCAGCGCCTCTAGCGGCAAAACGTACAATGCAAAGTTTATACAAAGGAAAAAATAATCAAAGAGATAAGGTTTTGTTTCCAGCATATGAAAATGCAATGATATTATAACCAAGCTTTACCGTTGGTTACTCAAATTACCATTGGTTTTCAAGTATATCCACCATTAAAAGTCGTCAGAAAGTAATGGTAAATATTCGAATGAAGAATACCGGAAAAAGGCTGCTGTTTTCCGGTGAAATAATTCCTGGATGTTGAACATGGCATACGTTAAAATGAAAGTATGTAAATTCTACTTCTGCATTAAACGAGGTTTTCAAAATTTAGCATTATACTTGTATTATTCATTTCTGCAGAATGCGATAATATTCACTTTCACTCGTACTATTCATTTGTCTTTGAAAAGTGTCACTACCTAAGAACTTTCTAATGCTGTGCAGCTTTCTAATTTATATTTTTACTTTAACAAATTCTGATATATTAATAATAATGTCCAAATTAAGGAAGTATTCATAATATCAGTTTCATCTTTGTATCTTAAGGTCACATTACTTTACTAATGCTATACTTCTATAGTTCTAGCTATATTCGTTCAAAATTTATACGGATGATTTAAAATTTTGAGGAAGCAATAAAAATGAAATAAATATATGTTTTTAATTGTTTTTTTTTAATTTATACACAATTTTATAATTTTCTGCATGATTTTATTGCCGGTTTAAATGTTTATTTTCACGAACAACAAGTTTTCTGATAACCTTCTCACAGAACTCTGATGCTTCTTATGATAGCCCGTTACTCATGGTTTTTTGTCCTTCTCCAGCAGTCATTTTCGTTTCTTTATGCCATTTGCTCAAATCTCCTGTTTGCTTGAGTTTGAGTATCAATTGCTTGCACCAAATCACCGGTGATTATAGACGGTCTACCATAGCACAATCCGTCATGGACGGTTTCTTGAAAATCATCCATTTTTGCACTTAAGCAATTTCACCCATTTTTGCACTTTACTGCCACTCACAACATTTTCACCGTACACTTCACACATATGAAGACGAATATTGGTAGCTTTCATGTTTCTCGCAGTTAAGAACCAAATAGCTATCCGCATTTCACAATCGGTGGCAGGCTAGATTTTCTTAAATATTTTAACCACCCACTATGAAGTGGACAGTGTACTGAATGCAAGTGTCATCAGATTCTGAGAAAAAAAATGCCGGAAGTTTGCGCGCATTCATTCTCACGCATACACGAAATTTCAAATGGCATTCGCAAACAAACCTTACTTAAAAAAATAGCCTATGTACAAAAGCAAAGTGACTTTCAGAAATATATATAAATATATTATTATTTATCTTACGTGGAAGATCGCTTGCTGCTGTTGTAGGAACAGATGGTGTCTGTGGCCTCGGACATCGGGGATCCACTTCTGACTAGAGGGAGGAGGGAGCTTTGTTTTTCTGGCGTAGGAACGAAGGTCGATACCGAACTGAAACTAGACGGAGGAGATGTCGAATAGGGTGACTTGCTTATATCTTCTACTTTCCCCACTGCTGTTGTATATTCTGCAACGGAATTGAGAAAAAAAATGAAACAATATCCAAATGTTTCATATTAGTTCAAATAGTTTACATTGAGAAGTCACACATTTGTTAGTGAGAAAGCTTTAAAGTATACATTATGAAGCGCATATTTAAACATTTCTTAGTATTTCACTAGATTTTATTCAAATATTTCACGAAATAAGTACATGATCTGATGGGAAAACCTGCAGAGTCATTAGTTTATTCTTAAGAAGGAAACGTGAAAAATGTGCAATGCCCTCCCAGGGACTCGACCTCTCGAATACGCGTTGAGTGTGCTTCCAGTTACGCCACGAAGACATATGCCAAAGATGGAGAAAATACATTATATACTCCCCCTTTCAAAGAGCGACCGGGGGATGAGGGGATGCCAAGTTGGCCACCACCTTTTAGTTCGGGCGCCACTTGTACAGTCATTAGAGATTTTGATGCTGGAGATGTGAAAAATTTGCAGTGCTCTCGCCGGGACTCGAACCCTGGATCGCTAGAATATACGTCGAGCATGCTTCCAGTTACACCTCTAAGGCATGCGGAAAGGAGGGAGAAAACACTTATAAACCTTCTTGATACGAAATTGAAACAACAAGGAAGACAGATATATAATATGCACTTTTAATGCTATGGGAGGTCATTCATCAGCTGACACGCTTACCAAACCTCGCAGTATGTATTTTCTTCTTCTGTAAATACCTGAAAGTATCTTCAATCAAAAATCGAGGGTTCTAGACGAATTCAGTAATGAATGTGAAAGGAAATTATGACATTAACTTATTAAGATAGCGAAGTGGCTTATGTAGTACTTCAGCATTAGGCTGTCATTAGGTTGCAGTGAATACGGCATAATGGCATTTTTGGCACGACTTAATCACCGCCCAAGCCTTCGGATCCCGAATTCAGGGAGCTCGAAAATAACAATACAGATATCCATATGTTTTTTTTTTTTTTTAACCTAATAAATACAAAGAAAGTAGGTACTGAGTGCCCTTGAAAGAAAGCTGAGCATAGGGCCTTTAATTGACTGAATCGGTTACGTTGAATATTTAATATCCACATTATGTTATAATATCCTATTCTGATATATTATTGCTTAACGATAGTGATAATATAGAATTCTGTTCTTCCGCAGTAAAAATGTGCATTGTATCGTTTTCGTTACTTCCATATTGTTACGAAATGTACAGGCGTGGTACCATAGCTTCCCCTCAAAGCAGTTTTAGGGTTGTTATAAGATGGCAAAGGAAGGCAGAGCTGCCTCATTTGGCAAGAAATCGCCAATTTGGCGACAAAATTGGCAATATAACATGGACGGATGGAGAACCTTCTGGAACGAGTTCTTACTGGTTTAGGCCAGAATGTTCTTGAACACAAGCCGAAAGCTGTATACCCTGCTGGTCCGCAGTCAGTGTGTGTGTCTCAGAGAGTGTGCCTCGTCTAACGAGCCGTGCGGAGTCGATTGAGTTGACAGCCGGGTAACGAGTGCCGAGTGGGTCATCGAGTGCACCGAAGGAGTCTCTTAGTGTATCGCGGTTAGTGCATTGTCGAGAGAGCGTGCTGAGCTCCGGGAACGACTGAAACGAAAAGTCGGGAGCTGTGCTCGTGTGTCGTCGAGTGCAGCGCGAGTTGTAGCGTGGAAAGTCTGGAGAGTACGTGGAGTTCTGAGAACGACCAAGCAGAGTCAGGAGCTGTATTCTGGTTCTGGTGCTTTGCAGGAAGCTGTCTCCACCGTTATTGCCTGACAGTGTGAAGGCTGTGTTGCTGATTGTTCCAGCGTGTTTATAGTAGTTCATCGACGACTGTAAAACGTGTTTTGGAGCTGTCCTGACAATACTGACTAATAAAGTGTGTTTCGATACTTCATCAAGTGTCGTCGTTATGCACTCCGAAATCCGCACGAACCCCGTAACGAACGTACCAGAAGAAAGAAAAACGTAACAATATTATATTGAGGGAAATTTTATGTGGGGGAAATGGTATGTTATATTTTATCCCAGTGCTAACTTCGATTCTTAATAAAACATTAAGAGTTTGTTAGCCCCCATCTTTTGTGCAGTCGTTTTATTAATAAAATACAATTCACGATAAGAGTAATAAAAAGCCTCACAGCGACAGAAATCCTAAATCACACAGTTGACGATTATTCTATAAATAACGTTAGTCTTTCGACTTAGGTATCATCACAAAGGCTGCACAAAAACCATAATATATTTTCCCCAAAATTCAAGAGTTATTGAAGAGCTGAATATCTGCAGGTTTATAATGGAATGCTTCGAATCCGATTTGTACATGCTTTACTAGTAAATATAATATGAGGTTAAGTTTTCCTTTTCCTCTGTAACCAGAATACTTTTCAATATATCACTGAAATGCGATTAAACATACATATTTACCTCTTATAATCCTCGAAATTTGTTTCGATATGGCAGTATTTAAATCTTCCAGAAGATCAAATACAGTCCTTTTCAAATTGTTCTCTAAATTCACATCTATTCCTGTAAAAAGAAAATTATTAATTGAGTTATTAATTAATATTATATTTTATTTCTTTGAAAGAAATTATAGCTAAGAATACGGGACTTCAATACATTAAGTTAAAAACAAACACGACGTTAGCCTTTTTCCTTTTCCGTTTTTTCATTCTCTATTATTATTATTATTATTATTACTAATTTATTTTAAAGTCAGAATTTTAATCTGAACGTTAAGGAAAATGGGAAACTAAATGTTGATCAGATACGCCTAAAGACTTATGCGTTAAACTGTGATTATTTTAGTTACATTTGTAGGCAAGCAGGATGACACAGGTATCAGTAATGAAATATGTACAGTTCTTAGTATAGACATTAGAAGAACTTTAAGTTAGTTTCGTAAAGAAAGTATCACAGAATAGCTTTCCATGAAGATTAATTAATTCATAAAACTTTCAGAATAAAAAATCTCATACATTATGCCTCTTGGATATAAACTTCCTAATTACAGTGCCAGATATTTTAATAGCACAAAACTTAATTACGAAATTTCATTTAAACACAATATACATTCATTCCCACAGATTCAAATAACGATTGCTTTTTTTTTTTTTTTTTGCCTGCTTTTACATTTTATATTGGTGTGTTTCTCTGTCAGTTAGACAAAATTAGAATACCTCTTTTAATGTCGGTCATATAAATTGATAAATTGTCGAATCATATAAATTTACGAATCATTTAAATGAATGCAATCTAATTTAAATTTCATACGATACACGGATGACGCTTTTCTTTATAAATGATATTTGTTCAAAACAGCAATATTATTTTTCGATGAATTACGTGATTGTCCCTCAATTACGAAAATCCAGTGTATTTTGATTTAAAAAAATAACATCACTGGTGCATTTTGATTTTATTACAGGCTTAAATGTACAGTTTGTCTGGAAAGCAATTATATACCTATCACAAAGACTATAATATGATAAATATATTTGAGTACAATTCAAGAAGCCTGCGTGTAATTCCAACTGTATGACATACAAGTTTATAATGCATTTTGGACGCATGGTATCCTGTGGAAGTAATTAAATTCAATTGCTCTACGCTATTAGTCAACAGCATAATCGGTTTAAAAAGAAAATCTCATGTGGACACTTTGTGACTTCCTTATACGGTCAATTAAATTATACACATTTTTTGCTGCACTGAATTTATTTCCTCGAATTTTTCTAACTTAATGGTAAACTTTTGTCGTAGAATTTGCAATTTAGGAGTATAAAACTTTCCTAAATATAAATACAGGAATTGAGAGATCGCATTATAAGTTAGATTTCGTTATTTGTCCAAAATTAATTTTTTTAAACTTTGATTTTCAATTGCAGAAGTGTTTTTCTTCATTTAAAACACTTCTGTAATTGAAAGTATATGATTACGACCAATGATAGCGAGAATAAAGGCCGGGTCCACTTTTGGTTCTGCCGAATGCAATGAAAAAGGGGAGGTGCACAACTAGATGTTACAGCAGTTACATATACAAAATTTCAATCGTTTTTGTGTTATGCAAGAAACATACGTAAGTACAGACGTCATGAAAAAAATCCATTTCAGAATTCGTTTCGGAATAAAGAGTTCTTTAGTCTGTCCGTACGTACAGACATCACGCAAAAAAAAGTGAAAATTTACGTTGGAATCTAACAACGAAATTTTTCGTGATAACAATACTACCTTTACTTCATATAAGGAAGTAAAAATTCTTCAAAAAATGAAGAATAAAGGAACAAAACATAAAAGAGAATATTCAATTTTCCTTATAGTGTTTATAAAATCAGTTAAACCACATTTAGTTATTACAAATGCCCTTTTCTGATTGTTAATATCAGATATGGATTAAATATATCCTGATGTCGAAATTCGATTTCTATGGTGATTGTTGTAATTTTCACGTTAGATATATCTATAAAATCTAGCGCTATTACTTTGCTGCGATGTTAAATTATGTAATGGTACCAGATCACCATCTACAGGATGTCTCAAAAGGTCGTTGCCAAATTTAACGTTCTGGTCTGTCTTACCATGACAGGCAAGATTTACATAGGAACTTGTGTCCGAAAATGAAGGGCGACCGCTGGAGGGCAATGTTCGTAAGCATAGAGAGGGTAGAAAGAAAGGATGTCGAAAGAGGTATTAATATGACATTTATTAAAGAACATGGTTAATCATAGAAGGTGTTCAAAGTTCCTCCCATTCGCCAAACTGCATGCTTCACAACGGCAACGCATAGATTCAGGGATCCGTTCAAAATGGATAAGTGTGTCACGGAGACGCACAAAATGTCCACAAATGTTCCACAAAATGTCCATACAGAACTGAGTTAGTAAACCATTCATCCTTCTCCTGCAATGCCCTCGTCTGAAATGATCACACTTCCCCTTTTTTCATAAGTCTGCGAACATTTAATTGCAGTGGTCGCCGTTCGCATTTTCGGACACAAGTTCGTATGTAAATCTTGTTTGTGATGGTATGACAGACCAGCATGTTAAGTATGAAAGCGACCTTTTGAAACACCCTATACTTGCTTAATCATTTCTGCTGCCTGCAAACTGGTAAATTTAAAAGCTTTTGCCATTCTGCAACGTATGTGACTGTATGTGAAATTTATTTTTTAGATTACAACTGTACATGGCTTGTATCAAAGTAAGCAGTTTAAAAATAGTTTTTAATAATATTACTAGTATTTATATTATTAGAATAATTGCTAAAAAAACTTCTCTAACGTTCAATGCTTAACTGTTGCAAAATATTAAAATGAGTATGAAGCTTTGTTTCACATTACTTTTATCTCTTCCTCTAGTAATATTTTTAACTAGTTTAATCTGTTAGAACTAAAATTTATAAGGTTAAATTAAAAGTTAAAAAGCAAGCATTTAATTGAAATAACAACATCTCATTTTCTGCACGCATACATTGAAAACTCAAACATACAGATAAATTCGCATATGGAAAATGACAGCAGAAGGTTTCGACAACTGGGAATTATTTCGGAAAGGCAAAAATCTTCCATACTCACCATAGTCGAGAAGTAACTTTACAACCTCTACCTTCCCATACAAAGCTGCCTCGTGAAGTGCGCTTCCACTTTCAACCTAAAGGAAACAGGAAATCGATTAACAATATTTCCCCGTACGTCAAACAGCTTTGAACATCGCATCCTATGAAGAATGATCGAAAATATGGTAGTATTTTCTGTGTAGGAAGTATAACACAATGGAAAATAAATGTCCGACTTCTGCTTCTAAGCTGCAAAGATGCGAAACTGCCTCCCACTTCAATAATTTTACAATAGTTTTATAAATGATATTAAAGGAACCTTGAATATAATTCGACGAGTATAATTTTCTCTCAAAAACAAAATTACCTGAAAAGTAAAATTTCTGAAGAAAAAGATAAAAACGTTTGCAGTAACGTTTGCAGTTAATGACTTTAGGCTTAGGAAATAATGATTTCGATTAACTAAATAAATAAAAATCGTTTCCGAATGGCATTCCTGTTCATAATCTACAATAAATTCTCAGTAATACTGCTATGAGAGTATGACATCTATGAGACATAAAACTGCTATGAGAGTACAAAATCCAGTTCTTTTCTCATCATGTTCCTATTCTTGGAATTTCTTAATGTTTTTGTGTTCAAGTTGCTCTACTTTTCACTGCTTTAACCTAAGTATTACTGATTAGAAGGATTTAGAAACAACTCTCATCACTGAAAACTGGCGAAGTTTGCGAAGCATTTTAAAATTATAGTACTTACGTATTAACAATTACCCGGAAACTTCGGTTGCACTAAGATATGGCAATTACTTGTCAATAAATATCTGCTTCCCTCTTTCAATCCTCTTACATACGTAGCTCATGAGCTTGTATCCTACATACAAGCTTAAAGCTTGTATCCTACAAGCTTATAAGCTTGTAGGATACATACAAGCGTTAATTATAATTTAAATCTTACGTTAATTAACCAGTTATTACGATGTCAGCCTTTACTATAACTTCTCCTTCCCGTATTCTTCACCAGAATGCAAATTAGTTGTGAGTATTTGTGCTGACGTTTCTGGATTTCAGACAGAGCGCATTTCTGGCATTTGCGTGATATGTGGTCAATTCCTACTATCTTTAACATCGGAGTGATTAAAAAAGCCATCGCTGTTCTCTTTATAGTTAATCTGGGCTACGTAACCTATAACTATTTTTTGAAAGTGATTCTTTTTTAGCCAGTGCTAAATCAAAATCTGCCAAATAATTATTTGTGACAATAATTTCCGATATATAGGAACTTTTTTTTTTCAAATATTGCTCCTTTAATGAAAGAAGTTTAAATGTAACTTTTGTTTGGATTTATGTAAATAATATTAGCTACGCTTTCAAAAACTGAAAAATGGAAAACATTAAGGATTTGATCTGAAGTATAATTTTACATCAAAACGCAGAATTTTGATACCATTTTCAAAATAAAATAAAAAAAAAAAGACAAACACAAGAGAATTAACATTTTGGAAACTATTTTCTACAAAAGCATCCAAAATTTTCTGAATATGTCAAAAGATATAGCTCTGTAAGGAATGTATGTTGAAAGCTAAATAGTGGTACAAATAGTAAATATTGCGCATTATATTATGCCATGAGCCGCTCTTAAAAAAATCCTTCGGAGAAAAATGTTTCTTGATTGTTCAATTAGTCAAAGAAAAGAATATTCATCCTCGTACAAACAAAGTTTCAGCTATGTTCTTCCCCTTGTCTAAGGAGAAGCGTTTAAATCACGTGATTTTAATGACTTTCTAAAATTTGCATTTTATAGATCCTCCTATTCTTTTAAAAGCTGATACTTATACAAAAAAATTTTCTGTCGGTAAAGCAGATGCATGAATTTTAAGTTGCGAATTTATGCAACACGTGGCGAAAATTGTTATAGTTTGCAGTCCCACCTTGATTCAAGTTTTCAACTGGTACAATGAAATCAAAATCATTCAAAGCATATTTCATATACATTCATTCAAAAGACATTTAGTCATGCAATCATTTCGAAGCATTCTGTAGGTCATATTAAAGATGCAGGAAGCTGTATCTATACAATGAAAGACTGCCCGTAAAAAATATAGAGATGCGGTCGTAAAAAATGGAAAAATTTCAAACATAATGGCTTCGGGCGCAGCAATACAATATTCCATTAAGTATCATGAGAAAGCGCAAGCACATTTTCAGCGTATGGAAAAAAAGACAGGGTAGTGCAGCTAATTTGCCGCAACGTATGTTTGTTTTACTGGTTTGTAAGTTACAAGAACTTATAATCAGACAGCAAAGCGTTACTGGTGAAGACTTACCTGCACATGCTATTTCACAGAAGTTGGATAAAACCCAGCAAAAAAGAGATTAAATGTGACTAAGCACAGAAATTACATTGAAAGTTGTTGCTCACTGAAGATACACGTTAAGAAATTCTTATGGTCACACACTTTTAGAAGAGAGGCTTTATTTCGCAAGTGCAATAACTGGCTATTGCATATGCAAAGCTTTGGTTCATCACAGTACTAGTACACTACGGATGAAAAATATCCGCTTAGGAATCAGGTATAAATATCAATAATGAAAATGAAATAAGACATGTGAGAATGAAAGTAAAAATGAAATGAGATGAAAAGAATGAAATGATGATGAAAATGAAAAATGAAATGAGAGAAAATGAAAACACTGTTTCACGTGGAAAGTAACTTCAACAAATCCCTATAATTATTAATTCTCCTGTCAACATTTATAAGTTATTTCTCCCGCCTTCTTAGCATGCCTTCGTAGTGTAGTTGTCAGCACGCTCGGCGCGTATTCAAGAGGTTTGTGGTTCGAGTCGCGGCGAAAGCGTTGCTCATTTTTTATGTCTCCTACTTTTCAAAAAATTGCCTAATGTCTCAACACATTTAGGTTATGAATCACGATATAAAAAGATATGAAATGTTTCAGATTTCAGCGGTTGCCTAAAAGGGTTTGTTAAGGTTTCTTACGCTCTCACTAAGCTCGCAATTTACTAATCTGTCCTTGCACTCATTTCCAGACTTTTTTTACGTTTATTATTAATTTTTTATTGGTTTTATTATTTTATTTATTTCAAACTTATGCCACGCACAGTTCAACAACAAAATTAGCACATTTTCAAAAGCTGCGTAGCAACATATATTTAGAATTCCCGATGCAACGTTAAGTGTTAGCATACACTATTTTTTCTACTTTTTTCTGTCTTTTCTCATTTCATATCAATATTCAGGTTTCTTAGTAAAACAGCTAACAAAAAACTTGTCTTTTTATTATTAAATTTTTATGTGTTAACTTCATTTATTAAATATCACGTTCTTCGCACTTACGCCACAAAATTCAGTTCAACAGCAAAACCGCACACTATTTAAAAGCAGCATATCTTTAAAATTCCCGATAGTCTATTAGAGGTTGACATACATATTTCTGTAATCGCTGTATTATTTCTTTAAAAACTAGCACTCGCGAAGCCAGCCCCTTAAATTAATTATCATAAGCAATATGAAGTATATAATGATTTTAATGAGATCAGCAGCATCTTAGGCTTTACTGAATGGCAACACATTCGCGCATGGAAGATAAAAACATTTTATTCATTCCAGCCGTGGCAACAAATTATTTTCATAGAACATAGTTTGCTAACTGAAACCGAAAGATAAGTATCTAACACTTTTCCGAATGGCAACACTCTCGCGCACTGGAGATAAAAATGTTTTACTTCAAACAGTATTGCTTCTGCTTGCTTTCAAACCGTTGAAATTGTTGATAAAAAATTCATTAAAGTTTTATAAAATATGATATAAAAATGATAAAACAAATTCGAAATTCAAAACTCGGGCTTCTACGTGCAGACGTTCTGTTAGAGGACTACGTTATTCATAAGTTTATGTTTCTAGGCACCATCGTTTTTTCACAGTGCGAGGAACATAAATACAGATTCCTTTTTCTTTTTTTAACCCTGTAGCGGGCACTTGCCTATTCGGTATTGGCCACACCTACGGACAGAAGTGGTGGCCATTTTATTGCGGAGGCACCTAACAGGCGGCCGCCGTTGCTTCTTATGGAGTGAAATACAATTACAATCTTCCCTTCTTCGGAATTCGAACCCTGACCCTTCGGTACAGCCCTAGGCTCCCCAACACCATCTGGGCGGCACATACAGATTCTTCATTATTTAATTTCTTTAAAAATAATAAAAAGCGATGGATAATATTTCGTTGTGAAAATTTGAAACCTGCGATACACTGTATATAGTGAACCGGCGTAAAATCCCATTTCGAGACCCTTTGTACTTAAAAAAAAAAAAAAAAAAAAAAAAATCATGAACTAGTATAACAGACATTTATGTATTATTTCAAATGATGTAATTGAAAGGAAATTTTTCTACGTATTTATGTCTCTTAATCAATTTACTCGATCCTCAAAGCTGTAATAAAAAAGTTAAAAAGCTCAGTCGGCAGCCAAATAAATAAGGAGATAAATAAGTACAGCTGAAAAAGAAATTAATAGAGCCTGTCTATCAAGCATTAAAAAAGCAAAAGTAGAAATTAAATATAAGATATTAGAATCCCATGCAGGAAAACTGATTACAGCCGAAAACATCGCAGAGAAACCAAAGCAGGGCGGAAACGTCGTTTTACAAAACTTCGTGGGAGAAAAGAAAGCAAAGAGAAAACTTCGGAGTTTAAAAACATCGTCGTCGAAAATATCGTGGTAAAAAAATAAAGCACCTACAAAATCATCGCATGACGATAATATCACACACTATTACAAATTACGACATAAAGATATAAAGACCATGTATTCTGTTTTCTTAAGACTTTCTTCTCTTTCTGAGAATAACAAAGTTATATTTTAATTCTCATTTTCATTGATTTTAAATATAATTGAGTTTGAGTTCAGACATCATCACACACTTACCACATAGTTGACATCAAATCCCCCATCCAGGAGTACTTTGACAACGTTCTTGTGACCGTTCCTGGAGGCCAAGTGCAGTGGAGAGTGCCTCGTTGTGCATTTCTTGAGCAACGAAGGGTCCGAGTCTACAAGCAACTGGACAGTTTCTAAACGACCATACTGGGCTGCTAGATCCAGCGGAGACTCGTCCTTAAGGTTTCTCACGGTAGGATCAGCCTCGTGCTGCAAAAATAATACGAAACGCCATGAGTAAATTACACTCAGACAAAGTACTATTGCAAAATTCTTAATATTTCTTATACGCATACTTAAATAATACTTGGAGTTATTTCTCGTTTATGTACTATTAGCCTGTGTTATTTTATTTGAAAAAAAATTTGATGTGGACGCCACATGACTTCTTTGCAAAGCCTATTAAATTACACTTAGTTTTGTTGCATTTCATTTAAACTCATTTCCTTGAATTTCATTAGAGATATATTTCTCATTCAATCAATTCAGTTCTTATTGAAACAAAGAACATTAAATTTCTGTGGAAAGGATTTATGGCTCTTGCATACAACTCGCCTAATTTATTAGCTGGATTTCAATTGGAAATAAAACTATAAATGTTGAGCATAAAAAAATAAAATTTTCGTGCAATCAAATATAAGCATAAATTCAAGTAATCAATTATTTCAAATCTCAAGGTTCAAATCAATGACAAGGTTCATACCGTCTAGGTATGGTTCAGATTTTCAAAGTAAGACTCACTTTTTATAATTTGAAGTAGGTTTTTATGGCATTTAGGAATAACAATATTTCCTCTTCGTTTATTTATGGAATTAAGAAAAAATGACATTAAGTACGTTATAGTGCATTTATAGCTTTAATATTTATAACTCTTCCCCAAAAAAACGAGGTTTGGAAATAATAGTTTGATCATGAGAAATAGGGATATACTGCAATCTTGTTTTAATCGCTACTTTCTGTGTCGATACACATACATTAAAAAAGTGCTACAAACTAACATTACCGTACATGCTATGTATATCTATGATGCGAAATATGAAGATACAAATAATTAAAAAGAACAAAATATTTACTAAATTGTACAAGATATTTACTAAAATATCAAATGTAATAAAATGGCAAAATTAAAAGTTCAAAATACGTAAAATACGTAAGGTATTTCGGTCTGAGGTTCGAATCCCGCGAACGGGCTGGCTGCATGGGCGTTTTCGTGGTTGTCCGCATATGTGTAACGTGTATACGAGCCAGTTTCCCTTAGAAAGTCCTCCACGAAGGCATCCCTCCCCCTTTAGACAGATAGCCCTCGTGTGCTTTGCCATAATTAAATAATCCAAGCCAATCCAATCCACTTTATGATGTTTGTCAGACAGTAAAGAGCTCGCGCTAATTTACTGTCACCAAGGATCAGTAGCGTCTTATGATAAGTGCGATAATTTAGTGTGCTCTTACTTCACAGCTTGCCCAACTTGTATCCTGTCTTGCGATAAATCCGCACCATGCTGGCCCACACATTGGGCTACTACTGGTTCACACTCAACCAGTATTCAAGAAGTCTTTTCCTAACACTATTAGTTGTGTAAGTGGTGCTTAACGTCTAAAAAGGTGATTATGAATTTTCGAGGTTATTATTTTTAAAGCTATACGAAACATGTTCCCTTTAACCTTTTCCGGCACGCTACCTTTTAGAGTTGGAGTTTTTGAAAAAAAAAAAAAAAAAAAGGTAGGCAGTCTAATTAGGCCTAGAGGAGTACACAAGTAAAATTTTGTGAAGATAGCACTTATCTTTTAATTCTGTGGGTGTGCCAAAATTGTGCACACTGATTGAATAGAGCTTCGAAAAGAGTGCTGAAACGAGCATTGTTGTCAATGAACTGACCGATGAGATACGGAGAAACAAAGAATACAGACTCTCAGTTGTCCTAGATTATCGGTGAGCCCGGTCTGGGTTCGCCGTTTGATTTTAGGCAAGATTTCAAGGTAAAAATTTAAAGAAAATATATAATAAGGAGATTAGTATACAGCCAAAAAAATAACATAGAAATTTCTTTTCAAACAATTCCTTTTATACCCTAAAAAAAATCTGGAAGATTTCTTTGAAAAACGAGGGTCTTAAAAAACTCAACATGGCTTAAATATATGGACTGGTTTGTGTTGAGCTGCCATCTACTATAAATAAAGAAGGTTCATAGTAACTTATAGTAACTATAAATCCTTTTTCATTCAATTTTTCTGTGCGTACAGAAAGAAATTTTTAGGTGAGTCCAGACCGTACACACTGTGCCGCAAAGGGTTAAAGCTAATATCTCATATAGACTCCTTGGGTTACTTCCCATATAGCCTGAAGTCTTCAACGATGTTAATCGAAACCACCAAGGCTGGTGATTTTTCCATAATATTCAAAACAAATATGACGATGTTTGCAATGATATATCCACCTCAGCCAAATAAAATGAGTTCAAATCATAATGTTTAATATGAATAAACTTGCGCTATGTTATATTAAGAACAATAATTTGTTCATAAAAATGCATTTTAAATTATCTAGCAAAATAGCTTTAGCAAACAGAAAAACAATAGCTTTTCGACAGTACTTTTATGAAGGTTATTGATCTCACCTTGAGCAGAAGGGACACGACCTCGGTGTGGCCGTACTGAGCAGCAGAATGCAAAGGCGTCTCCCGATCGTGATTCTGAAAATATAATTAAAAATAAATAAACAAATCAAACAGGTTTAGTAAACTTAATAAGATAAATTTAATTAAAAGCGTGATAAGTAAAAAAAAACTGAAAACTTTCAGATTTTATATTACGCCCAAACGGGCGTTTTTTTAACGTTTTACGTTGTTACCTTACTTTATCAGGTTCAATGTTCCGTCTTACTTTCTTCGGGAACATGCAAGGACCTGACTCGGAACAGAGAGCTTACTAAAGCTATGTTCAATAACTGTGGGAAGTAGACAGGATACACAAGAAGGGTATACAAAACCCTTTATTTTTCTCTATTTACAATAACTTCCGTACTTCGGAATACAAAGACCCACTACTTGTGGTCTAAACGTAAAAATATAAAAATAAAACTAAACTCAAATTTAAAATAATAAACGTGGAAGATTGGCCTTAATTAACAGGAAGCCGTATGTAGTACAGAGAACTGTGAACACTACAATATGTTTAAAGTTATCAAGAGGATTAAAACCTCTGGCCTGGAAGGCAACCAGCAACTGAGTAAAACTTCTAAGGTAAGCGGCCTGCTTCGACTAACTGCTTCCTCTCTCTCGCTTGGCAAAAAGCCACAACTTAAATACTTGGCGTTCGCCAGACAAACTTTGCATAAATACGTTAACGCTTATAATTCTGACCGGAAGTAGAAAATAAGAAGTGATAGTAAAGATTTAAAATAAAATAAACGTTAGTAAAACTTAAGATCCTTACAACTTTATTTATTAAATATCATGTTTTTCGCACTTAAACCATAAATTCAATTCAACAGCAATATCGCAAAATATTAAAAAAGAGCTTATCTTTAGAATTTCCGATATATAGTCTCGCGCGCTGCAGATAAAAATGTCTCCCCTCCCCCGCCAAGTGTTGCCATTGCTCGCTTTGAAATCGTTGAGTTTTTTAAACAAAAATTCGTTAAGTTTTACAAAATATAAAACAGATAATAAAAAAAGTCCAGATTCGAAATTGGGCTTCCAGATGTCCCTATTCCAGATAAGAGATTATGCAAAATTTGATGTTTCTGGTACACAGTTTCACAGTTTTTTCACAGTGCGAGAAAGATACGTACATTCATAAATATTTTTCATTATTTAATTTTTTTAAATATGATGCAGAGCTCTAATATTTGATTGTACCAATTTGAAAAGTGAAACGCCGTTTTATAGCGGACGACGCAAAATGCCAAAACGAAATTAATATCTCTTCTGGGCGTATTGTCTCTTTGAGCTAAAATAAGATGTAGAACTAAGAAGTTTTTTTTTTTTTACTTCCGTTTATTTACCCCACACATATATGTATATATATATATATATATATAATTACAAAATAATTATTTTGAAAACAAAACACAAACTAGCCTAGTCATTTTCGCGCATTAAGCTGCAGAAAAATTATCATTAAAGACATAAAGTAAGAAATTTAGGACTAAAATTTCACAAAGACCAGAAATTGAAATTCATAATTAATACATTTCAAATATACATATAAATGCAACAATTAATTTTAAAATGTTAAAACCAAAACATTTCAAACAAGCTAAACCCCTTTTCAAAAACCATGAAATTTTTAAAGTAAATTAAGCAAAAATAGAAGAGGAATTCAATCAATCTCAATGTCACTTCATCATGGGGGAGGAACTTTGAAACTAAACGAGATCTCTCTTCTACAAAAATCCTTGCTTTTCTGTATCCAGAATTAAATGATGAACCATTTCAATGTTTTTAAATTATAAATATAATAGTTCACCTGAAAATTTTGGCCCTTCCCCAAAGCAAGGAATAAACAAAGTAAATTCTAATTATAAAGATCTAAAAAAAGTCCATCTCTTTAAAAGAATTGAAAACGAAAGTGAAAAACAAAAGTGAAAAAACAAAATACTTCAGTGAATTTTTTTTTAAAATTTAAATGTCAACCTTTAAACAAATAATCCAATGAATTAAGTAGTTGATAAACCTATTTAGAACCTACAAAACGAAATTAAGAGCTCCATTCACTTTCAATAGACTATAGTCTAAATTTGAGATGCAATACAAAAAGATACGTACATTTTTGCCATTTTGGTATCATTGGCGAAACTAAAAAAAATTTTTTTTACGTAAATGTCATTTTGAAACCAAATATTTAATGTAAAACCTAATTAAATTTAGAATAATCATACAAAAGAAATCTGTTTTTTTTAAAGTACTGAAAACGATAGTGAAAAAACAAAATACTATAGTGAACGATTTCTTAAATCAAAAAGTTTAAATTGAAAATCCAATGAAGTAAGATGTAGTTGAAAAACTTATTTAAAATACATAAAAAGTAATCAAGAACTTCCCTCACTCTCATTAGTCTCTAGTCTAAATATTTGAGGCTATATAGAATTGCTTGTACGGGTTTGCCATCTTGGCTTCATTAGCGAAACATAAAAACCTTATTAATTATGAATTTTACAATTTCTGGTCTTTGTGAAATTTTAGTTCTAAATTTCTTAGTTTATGTCTTTAATCATATATACACTGAAGGGACAAAAGTCATGGGATAGCCATATGCAAATATACAAATGGCAGTAGTATCGCGTAGAAAATGTATAAATGCGAAGTGCTTTCATTTGTGTTCAAGGCTTTGACATGATTATGGCCACACGACGAGAATTAACAGAATCGAAAGCAGAATGGTAGTTGGAGCTAGACGCATGGGTGATTCCATTTAGGATATCGTTAGGGAATTCAACATTCCGAGATCCACAGCGTCAAGAGTGTGCCGAGAGTATCTAATTTCAGGGATAACATCCCACCATGGACGCGCAGTGGCGACCACCTGCACTAACGACCGAGACCAGCGACGTCTGCGTAGAGTTGTCAATTTACAGACAAGCAACACTGCGTCAAATACCGCAGAAATCATGTGGACGTACAGGACGTGTCCGATAGGACAGTGCGGCAATTTGTCTTCCTTGGGCTTTCAGCAGAAGACCGACTCGAGTGCCTTTACTGAAGCACGACATCGCCTGCAGCGACTCTCGTGGGCTCGTGAGCATATCGTGGCCCCTAAACGATGGAAACCTGGCTTGGTCAATGAGTCACGTTTCAGTGGTAGAGCTGATGGTAGTTCGAGTGTGGCGCAGACCTCACGAGCCAATGACCCAAGTGTCAACAAGGCACTGTTCAAGCTGGTGTGGTTTTCATAATGGTCTGGGCTGTTTTTATATGGCATGGCTCGGTCCTCTGGTGACACTGAAACCGATCATGAGGGAAATGGATACCTTCAGCTACTTGGAGATCACTTACTTCACACGGACTTCACGTACTCAAACAAGATGGGTTTTGTGGATGACAATGCGCTAGTTCACCGGACCACAATTGTTCGCGATCGGTTAGAAGAACATTCGACAATTCCGGCGAATGATCTGGCCACCTAGATAGCCGACATAATCCCATCGAACTTATGGGACATCATCGAGAGGTCATTCGTGCCCAAACCCTGCACCGTCAACACGTTCACAATTATGGCGTCTATAGGCAGTAGGCTCAATATTCCTGCGGGGACTTCCAACGACTTGTTGAGTCCATGCCACGTCGAGTTGCTGCACTTCGCCGGGCAAAAGGAGGACCGACAAAATATTAGGAGGTATCCCATGACTTTTGTCACTTCAGTGTATATCTTCGAGCATTAAGTTATCTACAGCTAAATCATAGCACATATATACATATGCAATGATTTGATGTTTGACGAAAGCGTGAAACTTCCATACATGGAATCATGGATTTGCAGAAAAACGTGTCGAGTACAACACATAATTTATTCCTAGACATTCTTCATACATATCTCCATAAAGAGAAGAGTGTGTGCATTTCGTATATGGGATATTTAGAGACTTCACACTTTTCTTCAGTTTTGAATGGTAATGTTCTGCATCATCGCGGATGATGCCAGGTGAAATAAAACCGTAAGTGATGCAGTACAGATTCTTTGAAAGGGATAGCAGCCAAAATAAAAATAGGAATTAAAAGTGAATAGGAATTAAAATAGGAATTTTTGTATAATATATGCAACATGCATGAAAAAGCAAATGAGTTGCTTCAAGGACACATACACTTAAATTTCACTATGCCCCATCACTTGTTCAAGAACTTTCTCCTATTTTAACATACTCATTTGCTAGACAAATCCACATTAAAGAACTGATGTATTAATTCACCAATGGTTAAAGGGATATTAGGCAGTTACATATAAAAACATGCGTTCCTTGTGTAAAGAAACATTCCATTATTACATACTTTGTGAACAGAACTGAAAAATTCCATTATATTTTTAAAAATTAAACAAATTAAACTTCACTCCACTTTATATATATATATATATATATAGTAATTATTGAGATATTTATATTTTATTTATTTATTTGATATATTTTTACTGAGAATTAAATATCATTCATTCAGGATTAAACTAATTAATTAAATTAATTTTGTACTGCGAAAATTTAGTATTTTTATTTATTTGTTTTATATTTTAAGAATTACCTGGCACGCAGCACAATTCTCAGTGGCACTCATAAAGGTTATCAAATAAACATATACCGCTCTGTCTCTCCTCTCTCCACCAATCTACCTCACGCATTTTCTCGTCTTTCGCTCGGTTCGCCGCGCCGATGCACGAGTATCGAGTATGATTTCAATCAATACACGTCGTGCGCTATAGGTTACTTTTAACTTTCCACATTATTAGGTTTATGGTGAAAATTTAAATTTTGTTTAATTAATTATTGTCACAATTCATACTTACATATTTAATTAAATGTCTAAAAAGAGAAAGCCTGATGTTCCCAGTTTCCAAGACTGTGTTATGTCACAAAGCGTCGTATGTTGCACATTAAGTATACAAAGACATTTTCATACTAAACATCAGTCCACGTTTCAGAATTCCGGCGAGAGAGATGTTTCTTAATATAAGATTAAAGTTACATTTTTGGTCAAACAATTGG